CCCCCCACACACACACACCTGCACACGCTTCGAAAATCTTGACTTTTTCATTTCTCTGTAAAGTCTTTAAAGATTAGGGGGCATGCACACTTTTCACGGAACAAGGAAATTCTGCCAGAGCTTTTTTATCCGCTGGTATTTGTAAAGATAACCGTTCCTATATTTGAACAGGCCATAGTAAAATCATGTGAAAGTGTAGCACACATACAGAAGACAGTTAGTTATCAATTAAGTAATAAAGATTTTAGCGTGCTTGTGTTGGGAGGAGGCAGTCGTTGCAAGGGGCACCGAAATAATTTAGCAGAGAGGATGTCCTGTTGTCGTGAAAACGTTCCTTACGCCCCTTTGCTTACATGATCTGCATATTGACGTAACGTCGTATATTAAATTTGATTGCAGATAAGTGTTCATTTCCCCATCGATACCGGCCATGACGCGCAGGCGGCTTGGCTTGTCTCGGGCTGCCAGGCGACAAATCCAAGCCCGTGTCGCTGCTTTCGATGCCGCAGACCTTAGCAACACGCCAGCTAACGATGATGAGCTTCAACGTTTTATAACGCCTTTTGTCGTCCCCGAGGCACAGCCACTGTCATCTGTGGTGGACTGCATGGCAGACGCAGGCGTCAGGCTTCCTGACCATGACTTTCCCCTATCGTTACCGATCCGCGCAGAGTCCCCGTTAAATGGATTGCATTTTCAGCTTGAGGTGCCCTCTGAAATGGCAACAGATGGCGGGGAAGAGCTATCTGCGATAGCAGAGCCGCCGGAAGTGATTAGGGAGGATGACCTTGTCCAGTGGCCGCTTTGTCTGCGAGACTTTATCAGGGAGTGGAGTCTGAAGGAAAACTTGACTCAGTCGAGCTTAGACAGGCTTCTAAATGGTCTACAGCACTTCCTCCCCTCTGAGAACATCCCCCGCTGTTCCAAAACTCTGTATGGGCGTGCAAACTGTGCGGCTGCTCCAGTGCGTGTTATGGAGCCAGGCGAGTACATCCACTTTGGGGTTGCTCATGTTGTCTCTGCCGTTGTCCGAGCATCACTGTCTGCAGGCAACAGTCCTGGTGATACATTGTCTCTTATGATCAACACTGATGGCATGAACCCTTACGATATTACGACCAAAGTTACCCTTTGGCCGATCCAAATAATCGTCTGGGAGATAGGTAACCGCCCTGTTATAGCTGGTCTTTATGGGGGCCGAGAGAAGCCTAAAAGTTCGAATGAGCTTATGGGTGAGACTGTGGAGGAGCTGCGAGTTCTCTTAAACCGCGGTCTTATAATAGATGACAGGCATTATAAAGTCTCGGTGCGCGCTTGGGTTTGTGATTCGCCAGCTCTTAGCTTTCTTAAGTGCATCAAGGCCAGCAACGGAAAGCAGGGTTGCCCTAGGTGCACCGCTGTCGGGATGAGTTTTAGCGGACGGACTATCTTCGAAAATATGCACGCCGAGCCCAGGACAAATGAATCATTTCGTCAGATGACAGACAGAGAGCACCACCACGGCCAGTGTGGTTTGACTGTTCTTCCAATCGACATGGTGGCTGACTTTGTCATTGACCCCATGCACGTCGTTTATCTCAGGGTCACAAAGACCATGGCGATGAGACTCGACAAAGGAAAGTTGCGCTTTTTACGGGTTTTAAAAAATACGAAGACTGGCCCAAAAGTCGTGTACGTGCAGCAGACAGAGTCGAGAAAAAAGGGTAACGGCCTCAGTGCAAATCAGGTGAGACAGCTGGACGAGCGAATGGAGAGGATGAGAAAAGAATGGCCGACAGAATTTCAGCGAACTTTGAATTGCTTTTCGGACCATTCGGGGTGGAAAGCTCACCAGGCGCGTACATTCGTGCTTTATGCAATCCCTTTGGTGCTGGCTGATTGCGGTCTGCCAAAATCACGATATAAAATGGCACTGAGGCTTCATTGTGCTTGTAGGATTCTCAGTTGTGCGACAAGATGCAAACAGCCTCGGCTTTTAGCTCTGGCAACGAATATGTTGCGTGATTTTGTGGGGAAAGCTGGCAAGGAATTTGGCCGCCACTTCTCAGTGTACACAACTCACTGCCTTCTCCATCTTGTGGATGATGTAAAGCGCTTTGGACCATTAGATTCCTTTAGCGCATTTCCGTACGAAAATAATATGAGACATCTGGGCAAATGCGTGCGTGGACCAAAACATCCAATACGCCAGGTGTGGTCACGTTTTCAGGAGAAAAGGCAGACAGAAGTGACTGGAGTAGCAGCATGGAAAGTTCCTGATCCCAGGGTAGTACTTGGGAAGACTGTTTCCCCGCGGACCACATTATTTTCTGCTATACGTGAGGTAAAATCGGTCCGTTGGGGCCAACACAGAGTGGCCCTCACACGCGGTGACCGGCACGTCATGTTGAGCAGTGGTATCGCCCGCGTGGAGGCCATTTTGCACCAACATGGCGGCAACGTAGTACTAGTGTGTCGCATGTATGGGCGCACGCGTAACCTTTACACCTGGCCCTTGGACTCAAAAGAACTAGGCATTCACCTCATGTGCAAAAGTAGCGAACTCTGCGAGAATCTGGTCTTAGTAGGGCTTACGGAAGTAATAGGGAAGGTAGCAGCATTTGAAACGCCCAAAGGAGTCATTGCCATGCAGCTTTTGCACACAGTTGAGGGTGAAGATGAGGTTGGTGTCTCCCCTCCCCCACGAAAACCGCCTCTTTCCTGCTGTCATTGCAACTGTTACAGTCACTGAATGCTTTGATTTCTTTGTTGTGGCAGGAGTGAATTTTGGATCGTCGCCCAGCAGACGGACGAGGTCGGCGTTTTGTACCCACTTCCAGCCAAGTGGATAACCCAACCGGCTGACGGCTGGAGGGTCGGGGCCGTAACTGAAGCCTCATTTGTGCAGAAGCACAGTGACAAGAAAAACGAGACGTTTACCTGGGCCTGCAAGAGGGCAGTAGATAAGGACACCGACTTCACTGACCGAGGTGCCACCTGGAAACAGGTGACTGTCAAGCTGAAATGCGGACCCTTCAGTAAGTGTGGTAGGGTAGGCAACCCGTGTCTCGTCTAATAGACCTGGCCCGCTCTCGGCTTTTAGAGTAACAGAGAGGAAATCAGGGAACCACTTTTAAAGTTAACGCTACGTCACAGAGTAAGGCAGTTTGCTGGGTAAATTCATTGTGGTGCTGAGTTCCTTTCTTCTTTTCCAAGTCCGAGAGCGGATAAGGTCCTATTGCTTTTTTTTTTTTTTTTTTTTTTTTTTGTCGTCAGATGGCTATGATGCTGCGATGGAGGCGCTGAAGGATAAGAATCTCTCGTCGAGTAGTCCCACGGATGCTGACAACAGCAGCAGCGGCAGTGATACATCCTCGGACTCGGATGACGGAGGTGCCACACCAGTTCTGACCCAGCTAACTAGCAGTACTGCACTCCCCCAGCAAAGTAGCCATCCAATTTTGCAATCGGCGGCGGTGTCACACACACAGGCTCATCAGTCGCAGCAGGTATATGGTATTTCTACTGTTGACATACTACATGGGGCGGAGCAAACCCGCAAGTGGATGTGTTGTGGGTTACCAGCTCCATTGCTGCTGTATACAATTTTGTCCATTCCATTCTTTTCAGCCTCTCATTCAGAAGCAACTGCAGCCACCCACGTCGAGTTCAAATGCGCTGCCCAAGATGCCGTCGGCGACTTGCATCTCCTGCCGCTGTGCTGCTGGATTGTTGCTACAGCCGACACCACATGAGTTGACCGCTATTAAGGTGCTGGCTGCGAAGCTGAAGGACAGAGCATTTTGCCAGGATTCGCCCCCTGAAGGTATGTTCAGTTCTGTCTATTTGTTTTCTCTGCCTAACTCTTATTCAAAAACTGCAACGCCTCGGCTTAACTTCTTTCATTTGTTTTTAATGCATTAAAAACAATTAAATATCACGTCCTATTCGGAAGAACGTGAGTCTGTCTCTGTCTGCCCCTTGGCCAAAGTGCATGGTTGTGGTACCTGTATCACGTTCTAACAAATGTAACATAGTTAGAGCAATGTAGACACTTGCCAAGACAGATTTCTTCACTTGCGAGGTCGCACAATCTTTCAATAACAGTTTCGCGAGGCAGTTCCAAAAATGCTCGGCTATTTCAAGTGTGCCTTCTTCCACTGATGCAGACTTTTCTTACTGGCTCGCCATGATGACGGCCACCAACGCGTATCAACTTATCCGTCTGGAGTCGCAGATCCAGCAAAATCAGACAGCGATTATGGCAGCGATACAGGACCTAGCGCGCGGGACGGGCGTGCGAGGCAGAGAAGCTGGTGCAAAGACACCAATGAACCAGCTGTTTGGGTACTCCTTTCCCATCGACAATCTGTGGAAACTTGTTGACCTGAATAACAAGCTCAAGGAGGAGGTATTTTTTCTTCTCCTGCAGTATGATGTGATATTTATTACGTTGCTCCTCTTTGATTTATCCTGTTTATTTCTGGCGCTTCCAGGGGCAGCACCTTGACCGTTACCGTGAGGAGTGTGCAATCAGGGGAGGCGCAACGGTAAAGGACGCGGTGAGGCGTGTGCACGAGTACGTTATGCAGTACTCGGTGTCACGGCAAGTAAATGCAACGGGGACGTCCTTCACGTCCCTCGACCTTGAAGAGAGAGCGCAGTTTACTACGACAAAGGATGGAGCACAAGTGAAATTAACGAAGAAAATGTCGCTCAGGAAAGAGTTAAAGGCATTTCGCGACGTGACTGTCGATGTAATTCTAAGTATGTATTTGTGGATGTTGTGAGTGTGTGGTTACACGTTAATGGCAAGTATTCATGATATCAATTTGCTTTACAGACATGAAAGGCTTTCGCTCTGACGAGGTGGTCACCCTCTGCTCTGTGCAGACTGCATTCGGGCAGTTTTATCACGCAGCGCGGGACCAACAACTCCAGGCCACAGGGGCGCCGCGGAAGAGGCGCCGCGAGGATGGCAGGGGCCCCGACGAAGTCGACATGCAGCAACTATTATTAGGGGTCATTGATAATGTTGCTGACGGCCAGCAGGCAACCTCATCTCGTGCGACCGATCAAGGCGGGTCGGGCTGGATGCCGACGACGGCGGAAAGGACTGGTGATTCAGAATATGACGACGAACTTTTAGGAACGGACGAAAACATTTCTCTGGACGGCCAAGTTGCCCGCACGAGGACATTGGGCTTGAAAGAATTTTAATTTTTTTTTCCTAAATTGTGTTAATGTGTTTGTTACTGCTGTAAGTTACAATTAGGGGGGGGGGGTAAGTGAGAAAAAATGAAATTACACTAAAAACTCAATAGTGTTCATAGCATGCACACTGTACAAACAGTGTGCATGGTATGCACACCGTACGAACAGTGTGCAGGACATGCAAACAATAGCTTTGAAAACTTAACAGTTGGCACTACTTCCTTTCAGACACATGCCTTTGCAAATTAGACGACATTTTCGGTTTTCTCGGGAGAAGAGTTTTAGAACGAGTTACCATGTGATATGGTTCAAATCCACCACTTCCATAACTTCGTTAATGCTACCAGAACATTCGAAGGAATTTCGGCAGTGGTGAGTTTAAACCCTATCGCATGGAAGCTCGTTTGGAAGCTTTTTTGACGAGGAAAGTGGAGATGCCTCCCACTTTTCAAGATTATGCGTCCGAAAGGAAATCGTGAACAATTGCTGAGTTTTAGAGCAATTGTGTGCATGCTATGCACACTGTGGAGTTTTCAGTGTGTTGGATTCTCTGACCAAAAAAATTGAAATACTGAAAATGCACTATTTTCCCTTCTTGGAGGATTCATTATCATGTAGCGTTTTGTTCTGATTCGATTGATCCTATCAGTAAGTACCTTAACGTCATGGGAAACTATAGTTATTAGCCAAAACCCACTTAAAAGTGGTATAGCCAGAATGTGACAATGCGTGCATCATTCCTTCAAAACCTCAAGGTTTAAAAATACCCCGTCAAGGTTTTTAAAATCAAAAAAGTTAATACTATAAGTTATGAGTGCATTCTTTAATGGTTTTGACCCCTAGAAGATTGCTCTGCAAACGTGTTGGGTTTGCAGAGTACTCTACACTAAGAAGGAACTATCGTTGCACTACATTGCAAACTTTTTAAAGGTATTGCCATATCTAATTTTATTTGTTCGCCTCTTATAAGTTATACATGTGTGTTTATGTGACTTGTTTTTATTAAGTTAGGTCTGTACAAATGTATATATAGATAATTTGGGACACTGGATGTAGTTCTACTTTTTATATATTCGTATCATTCGGACAAGCCATTTAATACACTGTAAATTCAAGTGTGTGAATGTCGCACACTTGTAGTTCTGTGAACATCCATTCGTACACTTACGAGGGTAAACGTGTGAATTTTCTAGGAAAACTTCACACGTTTACCCCCTTGAGTGTGCGAATGGATTTTCACACACCTACAAGTGTGCGCCATTCACACACTTAAGTTTCAAATGTAACTAGTACAGCAAGTTTTTATGTAATTATGTACGTACAACCGCTTGTGAGTGGCATCTATCAATTTTGATCCTTATTTTTTTTAGTTTGTGAGTATTTATCGATGAGTGTCTTTTTGTGCATGTGTGCCCATAGCAGTTATTAATTTGTTTGATGGCATTGTTTCGTGATTTTATTTGATATCTGCAATAATTTTTTGGAACAATAATATACTATCTCTGGTATTCTCATGAGTTCGGCCTGTCCTACTCTACTGCCCCCGAACTCTGAACAAAATTGGTCTGGCGTTTCAGCGCAGCATCTTCACCCGAAATTCAGGGCAGACCATCCTGAAAGGTGCTTGGGCATAAACCGCTAGCCGTATACGATACGAATATAAAGCGGCGACATCCGGTAGGGAAACGCAGCGCTAGGTAGCACAAAATCGGTGGGGCGTAGCGTAACTAAGGACGCCCATGACATTCTGGATGAACAAACATCCGCGCAATAAGCCAGACATTCACACGGCAGACCTACTACAAAGCCACCAGGGACATTCACTCTTAAACCGCCAGCCGAACACGTTACGTAGGTAGCGCGGCGACATAAGCTACAAAAACACATCGCAAACTAGCGCCGGATTCGTACAACAGAGTTTGCCCAACACTCCGAGCTGCACCGTGAAGGAAATCAGCGGGGCGGACAAAGAGCGAAATCCGGAGATGGATATCCCTGTGACCCAGCGAGAAGAAGGCCGGGCACACGTCGCGAAGCAATGATGCTTCAAAGGGTTAGTTCATGGTTGCGCCTCGAGTCCGCGCGGCGGCATTGGAGTGAAGTAACACCCACACTCTCCCGCAAATACTCGCGGCAGGACGTCAGCGGGTCAGGCCAGCGAGTGTCCAGAGCTTGTCCGCGCGGCACAATCCGGGCGGAGTGGCCGCACGGTGAGTCGCTGTGAGGCCGCACGGCTGCGGCCAGGCGTATGACGTGCATGCGGGTGCGAATCGAAGTGTCCGCGCTAACCGGGGGCAGGTCCGTTATCTTGGACAAGCGTTGTTCATGGATGGTCCGCGCGGCGGAACTCTTATGAGACTGTGCGCGCGCGGATGGCTACGAAGGCAACCCACTGACATCCCACAAGCCCCGCTAGGACATCTTACAAACAATACCGCGTGGCGGTTAACATACAAGTCTGGCATCCTGGACAAGCGTTGTTCTGTGCGACTTCGCCACATTCCGCGAGGCAGATTCGGCTTCCGCGCGACGGAACCGCGCAGAAACCGAGGCGAACTAAATATTCTATACGGGGGGCCCTCGTGTCCTGCGCACACTGCCTGCCGGGGCCATGCTCGTCGAGGTTGAGGCTAGCTAGCGGGCTGAGGGCGGGCAGCGCGTCCTCCAGCTGCTGCGACCTGGAGGGGGCCAGCTGCCCCCCGAAAACAGGGTGTTCCATTTTAAAATCGGTATGCCCGAACACAGTTTCAATGAAAATGTACAGTAACGAGTTTTCGGCGACGAAATGGTTAATCTTCGGAAATTGCTATGAGGATGTCAAATATGACGGATTTCCTGAAAACAAGACCCGACTAGTGCTTTGCGAACATAACTATATTCATCTTTTTAGTATCATCAACTGCTTACGCGAGAGTTAGTTTTAATATTTGTTTGTCCGTGTGACCCTGCCCAGTCCCTTCGGCGATTAATGCGCGGACTTACCCAGGCGGTGGCGGTGAGAGCCAGGAGGCACGCTCTCGCGGTGTGCGCCCCGGCCATCGGACCGACGATGAGCCTCTCAGGTTGCTGGGGTGGATTTCCGCCCCCTGATGCAAGGACGGCGGTAGGGTTGCAAATTTTCCAAAATTTCGAGAAAAATTTCCGAAAATTTCCGAAAATTTCCGAAAAGAACGGCAATTTTCTGAAATCTGGGAAATTTTCCTGTTTTTCCCGGAAATTTTCTGATTTTTTCGGAAATTTTCAGGAAAGTTTCCAGGGCTTCCAACCCTAGACGGCGGCAAAGCACGCTCTACTTGAAGGCGTGGCCGACCGTGGCAGCTTTCGCTGAGTTAGAATTCCGAATCTAGAAGAGTCTCAAAGAGTCGCTGTCCCGGACTTGGAACTCACTGCTCGGCCGAGCGGGAGCTGGAGCGCATCCTCGGTCCAACCAAAAAGGCGCCCGAGCAGCTACTACTGAATCACTCACTACCGTGTTGGCTTCCTGCTTGTGACTCCCCCCACTCTAAGAAATGCGCTTGAGCTAGCAGAGTAAAGAAAATTTAAGCAAGGTAGTGGTTTTCTGAAGTTTTCTGATTCTACTTGAGAGCCTGGAATTTTCACGTTTTGCCCCTAACTGAATTTACTGAAATTAGGAATGACCGCTGAAATTTACAATGAATGCAAATAAAATTTAATACAGCGTAGGGCCGCGTGCGTTAACATTGGGCACCGGGTAGCTGAGCGAGGAACACTAAAACAGAAGATTTAGCAAATAAAGAACGAAACTATAATGAATGTGTTAGACCGCATAGTAGATAGGCAAACATTCCGAGAGGGGAGGGAA